AAACGAAATCGCCCAAGCTAAAAGATTTGGCTATAAGTTTTTTGTTATAGAATTTAGCCATTTTTCGTTTTTGAATTTGCAATCTATCTAGGACGTCCAACTTTAATTCGTTCTAATAAATTTTGGGTTAGTGATTATGTATGCTCACCACCACTTAAATTATTTTGCAAACCCACTCTAATTAAGTGCACGTTGATCTCCATAGGCAACACAACCTCTTTTCAATAAGTAAGTTGAAAATGAGTTACTTTGGTACTTGAACGTGGAGACGTCCTGTAAACCCATAAAACCTTATTTAAGCATTCATGCCAATTTATGACCTTTTTATATATCATTTTCCTTATGATATTTTTCAGAATCTTATTAAAAGATTCAGCATGTCCATTAAATTGAGTGTAATAAGGGGTGGAGTTTACTAGTTTAACTCCAAACTCGCTCAAAAATTCCTTCACTTGATCTCCATTCAAGAAAGTTCTGTGATCCATCATTATGGTTTGTGGTATCTCAAATCTATAAATAATGTGGTCACGACTAAAGCCTATAACATTTTTCTGAGAAATTTCTGTCAAAGTATTGCTTTTACCCATTTAGTGAAGAAGTCCGTCGCAACTATTATAAATGTATGTTGCTTGCATGACGGGGGATAAATCTTCCCTACCAAATCTATCACCCAACCTTTAAATAACCAAGGTTTAATAATAGGTGTCATTTATCTTGCTGGCATTCTTTGTATCGGACCATATTTTTGGCATGATAAATAACTCTTTGCGTACTGAAGGTACAATTCTCCCATTTTGGGCCAAAAGTATCAACTCCTAATAATCAACAATCTCATTCTTTGGCCAGCTTGATGGACTCTACATATTCCTTCATTTACTTCAGCCATGATTATTTTAGCCTCTGCAAACTCACACATTTCAATACCACACCGTCTGAGTGTTTCTTGAATAGTTCATCATCTATCAATATGTAATTCAACGAGCATAACTTCATTTTCCCACTACTTTCCTTGTCAGGTTCTTTCAATAACCTTTTAATCTTTACACTCCAATCTATTGCATCTTCATCTTGTATGCAATGAATCTCAATCCTTCTCGCCCTCATTTGTATTGCGGGCAATATTACTTCATATTCACAAGTGGATTCCAAATTTAGCAACTTTGAATAACCCGAATCCATTTGGGCTAATTCGTATGCTAAATCATTATATATCATGTTAACGTATTGAAGCTCCACTTGATCAAATTCTTCCAATAATTATTGGGCGATTTCATATTGACTTATGACAGAATCACTTTGGCATTTAAAATCACCGTAAATTACTAATTGGAAATCGCCCCTAACGATTACATTTTTTATTCCCATTTTTATTATCAGCTCTAATCTCACGATCAATGCTTCGTATTCAGCTTGATTAATGATGCACATTCTATCCAAAGTGAAAGCAAATTTATAACAAATTCCTAAAGGGTTTATTAATACTATTCCTACCCCCGTATCTCTAGAAGTTTTTGATCCATTAAAGTATAAAACCCAAGGTTTTATTTCAAATGAATCAATCTCTAATTCAATTTCCTTAGGCATCTCAAGGTATGGATGATCGGCCAAAAAGTTAGACAATATTTTTGACTATTTTTTGGAGTATATATTGTATCTCAAATTTCGATAATGTCAAAGTCCAAAGGCCTATCATTTGATGTAAAATAGGGCGAAAAAAAATATACTTAACTAAATTTACGTTAGAAATTAAGTAAACGGTCATAGACCATGAATAAACCCTTAATTTTATACATGTGAAATACAAAGTAAGACACAATTTTTCAATAACAGAGTAATTATATTCACATTTTGTTAACCGTCTACTCAAATAATAAATCGCCATTTTTTAACCAAATTGGTCTTTTTGCGCTACCATTCCGCTATTATTCTTGCTCAGTCAATATGTACACCTTCTTGGCCGTCTTTAGATAGGTGATAGTAACACTGACAGACTTGACAAATATGTCTTCAACCTATCAAAAGTCTTTTGATGCTCTTCTTTTCAGACGAATTCGTCCTGATTTTTCAGCTTTAGAAGAGGCGAAAAAGCTTTCGTTCGCCCTGCACAATTAGAAATAAAGCATCTTAAAAAATTTACTTGGTTTAAAAACCTTTGCAATTATTTCTTGTTACTAGGTGGTTTGACCTCTAAAATGGCATTTGCTTTATTATTATCGAGTTTAATTTCTCTTTCGTGCACTAGAAAATCACGAAAATTCCCTACATTAACGACAAATGCACATTTCAAAATATTCAATTTTAGTTTGTATTGTCTCATTCCTCAAATGAGCGTTTTAGCTGTTCAAAATGGTCTTCCTCTTTAATAGATTTGACCACTATATTATCAACATACACTTCAACAAACTTGTCTATCATGTCGTGAAAAATCAAGTTCATTACCCTTTGATAAGTTTTCAGTGCATTTTTCAGGCCGAAAGGTTCTAAGCATCCTAAAGCCCCAGGGCATCTAAAGGCAGTTTTGTATACATCTTCTTCAGTTATATAGATTTGGTTGTATCCTGAATATCCATCCATAAAAGAATACATTACGTGTCCAGCAGTTGAATCTACTAACGAATCCACCATAGGCATTGGATATTCATCTTTAGGTGTTGCTAAATTTAAATTTCTAAAATCTATGCACACTTTTATATTACCATTCTTTTTTAACACACGGCACAATATTAGACGACCATTCAACATATCTGATTGTCCAAATAAAAGTCACTTTTAACAATCGCTCAATTTCTTTCTTTACCTCAAGCAACACATTGGGGATAAAACACCTAAGAGGTTGTTTATGAGGTTTAAAATTTGGTTTAGTTGATAATTTATGTTCTACCAAATTCTTATCTAAACCAAACATATATTCATATTCCCAAAACAAAACTATCATTATATTCTTTTAATAAAGTTATTAATTTATTGCTAACCTCTTGACTAAGTATCGGCTGACACATGTTGGGCGATCTTCCCCTTCAGCGACAATATTCACCATAATCAAAGGGTTTTGTGCTTGAGCATACCCAAGTTTTGTGATTCTCATTACTTCATCGTCCAAGTTCCTTATAAGCACTTCATATTCTAATTCATCCACCTTGTTGAATTCTCGATCAATATTATGCTCCAACTCGAACACTGCCAATTTGTTTCCCAACGTCCTTAATGCTGCTTCTTCTTTTATCTTTTCTTGACATTCTTTATTGAAAGCCATTAATTTGGCTATGAAGGCCTGAATATCAGCCATACATTCTTGTTGCCGACAACTCATTAGAGTTCCTTATCCTTTTGCCAATTACTGGCTCATCTAGAGCCACTATGTTTGGCCTCATTTGATTGAATATTTCAGTAAGTGCATTTGCTGAAAATGGCTCTTCACTCTATGCGACAATTTGAGTTTTTTCTCCATCTTGAATTATCCTGACGGATCCATAATTTCCTTTGTACATAAACATTTCTACTGAGTTTACTTCTGCGACAAAGGGCCTATGATCTACCTGTACTACTTCTGCTTCGCCCTTGTCATTCCAAAAAACCAAGCATTGGTGGAGCGATGAAGCTATGCAACGACTCCCGTGAATCCAGTCCCTTCCTAGTAGCATATTGTAACTAGTAG